GCATGGAAAGATTTCGACCTTGAAATGATCTCTTCTTTTCTTGGCCAAAAGTGTATTATTAGAGAGCTTAGGAGAGTCTTAAGAAAAGCAGATGTTGAGAGTTATCACCCTCACCCTTCAGTTAATTTTTGGCCAGGATCGTGTGTTGTTTCTTTAGAAGTTGTTTTAGAAGATCTCATTTTATTGTTGCAGGCCCAAACCATTATAAGGGGTTTTAGCCCTTTAGTCACCTGCTGGCAGTGTCCTGGGAATGTTTTATGTTGGATCTTGCTTCCTCGTAATCTGGTGACAGTGGTTAAAGTAAAGGGATCCTAAAGTAGGTTCAGGTTAGGGGCATTACAGCTACCATTGCCAAATGTTTGATGTGGTTCCTCTTTCTTTTCTTTTTTTAAATAAGAGTTTATTTAGAAAGTCACAGAGGTAGGGAAAGTGAGCCAGCTGGGTGTGGACTCAGGAAACAAGTTACAGAGGCAGCAAAAGAAGGGCCTTTGGAGCTTAGAAGCAAGAAGGGTAAAAGGTAACATGCCTTGTGGGGGAAAGAATAGGGGGAGGGGAAAGGCCAGGGTGTGCTCCAGGGAGGAGGGCCGCCTGATGTGGTTCTTAATTAAATAATACAGGACTTTATCAATTTTTATTTTAAAGTAAAACATAATTACTAATTTCAAAAGCTAAATGAATGGCCATTTTCCTTTTCTTAAAAAAAATGAATATTCTAAGAATATGACTTTCTTCACTTTCCTAAAGAAATGTAAAATGATTTATAAATGATATTAATTTTAATGTAAGTTTAATTGGAGTTGTACTAAATCTCAGGGTTAACTTGGGGATAATTGACATCCTCATGATGTATCTACTGGTGTGTTTAAATGCATTTGAGTTTTTGTGTGTTGATTTGGCAACCTTGCCACACTTTTATTAATTCTAATAAGTTGTCTAATTTCTTTGTGTTTGCTATGAAAACAATGAAAAAAAGACTTTATTTCTTCTTTTGAATTTCTATACCTTTCATTTATTTATTTTTTTCTACCTTACTGCACAGACAAGGACCTGTCCAGTATTAGGTTGAGTACAAATGGTAATAGTAAACATTCTTGCCCTTGATTTTCCACTATGGAGTATTATATTTGATGTAGTTTTCCCCTCCCTTTTAGAGCTGTTTGCTAAGAGATGTTCTCATGAATTATGACTGCATTGTATTGAATTCTTTTTCTGTATCTAATGAGAGGATCACATGTGGGGGTTTTCCCCATCTCCTTTAATCTTATAAAAGGGTGAGTTAAAAGAGATTTTCTTTGTTGAACCAACCTTTCATTATGGCAGATACTCAGTCTTTGTCAAGATGTAATCAAAATAATATTACTGCTTCTAGCAGGTATTATAAAAATGTTATCAAATAGACTTTTCATACTAGTGTATTTTTTTAATGTTTTCATTGATTTCAGAGACAGGAAAGAAGAGGGTTAAAGAGATAGAAACATCAAAGATGAAAGAGAATCATCTATTGGCTGCCTCCTGCACACCCCCTACTAGAGATTGAGCCCAAAACCCAGGATTGTGCCCTGACCAGGAATCAAACCATGACCTTCAGGTTCATGGGTTGATGCTCAACTACTGAGCCACACCAGCTGGGCCATACTAGTGTATTTTAAAGGTATCTTCCAGCTCCCACCTTCCCCAGCCTTTTGGCTTGGTTGGGTGCTATTTTTCATAAGCACGGAAAACCATTGGACAACTTAATTATGCAGTTCATCCTCATGTGTCCATGAATATTAGATACCAGTATCATAAAATGTGCTTAATTGTGTAAACATCCTTGAACATATAAAATATCCAATTCCTAGGGTGCTTAAATTAGTTTCATTTGGCTGAACATTAAAAATGTTTTTAAAAGCAGTAGTTTCTTTTTGCACTGCATTTCTGTGCTCATATTTGAACTCTGAAGTGTCCAGCAGTTCTGAATCTGCTCTAATAGTACAGAGTGACATTGGAGAGATTGGGCTCAGGGGACTCTTAACTTCCTCCGCCACCAGAGCAGGCACTGTGTTTAGTGCTCAGTGTTCGGAAGCGTTGGCCACAAGCCCAGCAGTAACCAGTTAATCAGTCAGAGTGGGGCCAGGTGAGCGAACCTGAAGTCACTGACTACCCACTGAGTCACAGTGCCGTGCTAAAGAGCAGCTGGCACATTTGCAGGTAGTAACCTTTAAAAAACACCCACACTTCAAAGGAAAAGGACATTTTTAGAAGTTTCTCCCCTAACAATTGTCATAATACTAAAAGTGAAACTATGTCACCAGCAGGGCAATTGTCTTCTGAAATAGAAGTACAACATCTTGAAATGAAAGTTTACCTGGCTGTGCCCTGTGAATCATTTTTTTAAAAGCTTTCGGCTTCTTGCCGAAACCAGTTTGGCTCAGTGGATAGAGCGTCAGCCTGCGGACTGAAAGGTCCCAGGTTCGATTCCGGTCAAGGGCATGTACCTTGGTTGCGGGCATATCCCCAGTAGGAGATGTGCAGGAGGCAGCTGATCGATGTTTCTCTCTCATTGATGTTTCTAACTCTCTATCTCTCTCCCTTCCTATCTGTAAAAAAAAATCAATAAAATATATTTTAAAAAAAATAAATAAAAGCTTTCGGCTTCTTTTATTGCTGAAGGAAAGGACTCATGGGGGCAGTGTGGAGAGGAGGAGCACCAGGGATGGTCTTCCCTGTTGCTCCTCTTTCTAGTAGTCTCGGGAGATCAGCGTGATGCCAGGAGCAGGTAGGGTCAAGTCTGTTTTTGGGTTTTTATGTTTTGGACCCATTGGTTTTGGTGTTGTTGACTGAGCTGGTGTGAGTTGTGGAGTCCTGCACAGCCACACTGCCCCTGCAGAAGGTCTGTGTGTCCCTCAGGCTGTACTTTGGAGGAGACAGCAGAATGAATGGGCTAAGAGAGTGCATGTCTCCCTATACGCCCAAACCATGTCTCCTTGGGCATATCCATAAGCTCTCTTGCCTCAGTTTCCATGTGTGTGAAACGGGGGGAATAATCACAGATAGAGTTCTGAGACCTACGTAAGATCGTCAGGAGGTGTGCTGAACACATGTTGTCGAGCATCAGATAAGCCCTCCAACACTAACTTTTCACTGCCGCGTCTGCCGGCTCACCACCACCAATGCTGCTGCCCCTGCCCCTGCCCCTGCCAAAGCCCCTGCTGCTGTCTTGATCCAATGGGTCTTTTCTGGAATGAAATGCATCATGTGGTGGGGCATGGGTGGAGGGGGAGGAGGAGTATTAAACTATACAGGCAGTGCAAATCGGCTTTCTATGCCACTTCAGCATGGCGTCCACCCTAAAATTTGGGCCAATTTTATGCTTTACATTGTTGCATATTAAATTTTGCATTCCTTCCTTCTGATAGTTTGTGGCATCCAGTCATATGCCAGAAAAATGCTTCCCAGGTTCTGCTTCCCGTCATCTGAGCTTACTGAATCATGGAAAGTGTATTTTAGAGTGTTGTTTCTTGCTCTGAGATAACACTGTTAATGTTTAGCCAACGTATATGGGGCTCCTGACAATATGCCAGACCCTGGATTGGACTCTGAGCGCTGAACAATGGGTATGGCTGCTGCCCAGGTTCTTGAAGAACCCTCAGTCTAGCAGGCAGATGTAAACTCATGAACATAACCCAGGTGGGGAAGGGACAAAGTCTCAAAGATCATCAAGTTTCAGTTGAACAAGATCTTCCTTTCTCAGATTCCCTCATTCCCCACAAGAAAACTCTAAGCCAACATTTTGAAAGAAACTTATTTGCATTTTTATGCTTTGCTTTCTAATGGAACCATTAAGAGGGTTTGAAACTTAACAAATATAGAATGAGGACAGCTGTCATTCTCATGTTTTAGACAACAATAAATGTGGACATCATATGGGGGGAAAATCCTTGGGGATTTTTTTATTATAGCCCATGACATATAGATTTCATGCTTAAGGCTAAAACATTGTAAGTTAAGAGGATTTAAAAATGGGAAAAGAGATTGTGTGTATGAGTAATAAGAGAACGCTTTGAGCATGTGGGTATTGGGGCTTCTGTCAATTCCTGGCCAAACCCCCCAACCCAAGAGAGCCTTAACTATTCAGTGACCCGAAAAAGGAGAATCTCTGCTGATCTTCTTTTCCCTTGAACTAAGAGCAGGCTCCCTCGGTTCCCACTGCCCCTCTTGTCTCACACCTGCAATGACTTTGCTCATTTACGTCACTTGTTTGACCCATGTAGGCATTTAAATTTGCTGCTCCTGGTCTAGAAACTACCAGAGAAACCCTCAGGACCCCCTCAGAAATGGTGGGAGCAGCTTCTCTTGGGTGCTGCCACCAACAAGCAGAAGGAATGTGAGATTCGATATGCCTCCATTTAAAGCCTAAGATTGGCCCAAAGCTTAGGGTAGAAGCCCTGCTGAAGTGGCATAGAAAGTGAGTTTCTGGGACTTTCAGGAGGTATTGCTTGGTCAGCAAGGAACCTTGGTGTCCATGCCAAGGTTGCACAGTAGATGGAGTGACCATTGCATAACCATAGAGGGTTGATAAATTAGAAAGATAAGAACAGATTTCAAGGAGAAAACTATGAGAAGTGGGTAGAAATAATCTTTATTACATTTTACATGGGTGGCTTTATTTAATTCTTCTAATGATAACTTAGTCATTCTCCAAATATTATGAGTGCCTACGGTGTGCAGGGCACCGAGGGTCAGGGTGAATCAAACAAGCAAAGCCCCTTTGCTGTTGAGCTTATAGCAGCGGTTCTCAACCTGTGGGTCACGACCCCTTTGGGGTCGAACGACCCTTTCACAGGGGTCACCTAAGACCATCGGAAAACACATATATAATTACATATTGTTTTTGTGATTAATCACTATGCTTTAATTATGTTCAATTTATAACAATGAAAATACATCCTGCATATCAGATATTTACATTACGATTCATAACAGTAGCAAAATTACAGTTATGAAGTAGCAACGAAAATAATTCTATGGTTGGGGATCACCACAACACGAGGAACTATATTAAAGGGTCGTGGCATTAGGAAGGTTGAGAACCACTGGCTTATAGGCTAGTGAAAGAGGCAAAACAATGATAATAGTTAGAACTAAGTGCAATGAGGAGACATGGCTGGACAAGGGGCTAGGTGAGTGAGAGGAGAGATGTGCCTCCCACACCACCAGGAAGCAGCTGTCATCACCACTCTAGTGTTGGAGACACGGGGGCAGGCAGGACGTGACCTGGTGGTATGTGGTGGGACCTGGTCTCGGATCCAGGTCAGACTGGAGCACATACATGGGAACAGGAATCCAGCTGGGAATTGGAGGGCTACTTACCATCCACGTCTAAGTGGAGACCCCGGGTCTCACGTAGGACTCTGTATATGAGAAGAATTCAAGCTTGGTGGCATCAAGCTTATTTGAAATTTTAGGCTATAGACTTCCTTTGTGCTATGTCAGGAGCACAGCACCTGAGTATGGCCATGACTTCTTGGTCTCCACTGGCCACAAAGGGATTCTTTTCAAGGCGGTGAGCTGCCCGGACTCACAGCACCAGGTTCATGTGCAGAATGGAGGGGTGGTTGAGAGATCACAGGCTCTGGACTCCAACTGCTTGGGTTTAAACACGTCCTCACTGTATGTAAACTTGGACAAGTAAGTTCAGTGCAGCTCCATTTCCTCACCTGCAAAGCAAGAAAAAATCCCAATACCCACCTCAGTGCCTTGTTGAGAATTGCATCTGAGACGATGCTAGTCATGGAAGCACAGAAGCGCTCAATCAGTGCTCACTCTGCATATTGTTTCTCTCGTTGGCCTTAGTGGAACCTTTGCATTGTTGGGTGTTTTGCTCATGTGGCAGAGCTCGCCTCAGAAAAACATTTTTTTTTTTCCACGTAGAAAACTCCCGTTTACGTTTCTAAACTGGGAACAGCCTGGTGGCATGGCGAAAGATCGCGTTCCCCTGATGGCACATTTCTGAAGCACAGCATGCTCACAGTTTTATCTTCCTATTCGACATGCTTTTGCAGACGGCACAATATGGAACTGGTCAGACTCCTAATTATGACAGTGGTCCAGAGCCAGAATCCAATCATCCAGTTGACAAAGAACTTGGTACAGAGAACGGTGACCAGCTGTTCCCCATCTCCAGTGAGCAGAAAGTAAGAGGAAATGGGTTTAAGCTGCGTGAAGGATTTGGGTTATTTAGGGTAGGATTTCCTGACAGTGAAGGTTGCTGAACATTAGGACTGGATTAGAGAGAGGGGTTGTAGAATTTCCGTTTGTGGGGATTTTGCCAGCATGGTCCTGTTTGTGCGATGACTGCAGGGCCTGCCTCCCAGCTGCGCCCTCTGCCTGGTCTTTTCCCCTTTCTACCCATATGGTGCCCTCACCAAATGAGCCTTCTCTGGAAAGATGAGGAGGGAGGAGGCTGGTGGAGAGAGAGGGGAAGTGGATTCCTGGTTAACCTGTCCTTGACACTCTGGGTGAGGACACATGAACCATGACCTGGCTTAGTTAACCTTGGACTGAAAAGCTCACCTGGGCCAGGGAAAAGGCAACTGTGGTCACATTGAAGGCTTGGATGGCAATGGAGACTGCATGGCTTGTCCTAAAGAAGGCAGCCCTTTCTGAGAATGAGCCCATTCTTGCCACAAGGCCTGTGGGAACGTGCACTATTGCCAGACTTTGATTCTCAAAAGAGGGTATAAAATTTGGGGAGTTTGAAAATTCTGGCAACTAATTTTTAAAAAGCAAGTTGCATGTGGGCCAAAGTGAGTGTATGACTGTGGGTCTTAATTCAGTGTGCAGGGCGCTCTTCTGTGACTGCTCGGCCAGGTCACGTTGGCCTTGTGGTCAAGGACCAAGTTCAAACACAGACTTGAGGCAGCAGAATTCTACTCTGTCCCAGTGTATACAAATGTTGAATCATCATGTTGTACAGCTGAAACTAATATAATATTGTACGTCAATTTTACTTCAATAAAAAAAAATAAGTGAGAACCTCTGTGTTCATGCATTGAACCATAATAAATTACTATTTTATAGAGCAAAATGATCAAATATTGTCAATTTCATAGACTTCAATCTAAAAGTAACCTTTCACCCACTTAAGAAAAATAAGAATATAAAATGTCAGTGGTGTTTTCTCCTGCAGCATTGAACATTTTGCCTCCTCTGGGACTGAGAGGACTCACTTACCAAGGTATTGCTCCACACACAGCCTTGTATTATTTCTTAGCAAACCATGCCTGGCAGGTGGAGGTGACATCAGCGATCACCTGCAGCATCCAGGCAGCATAGAGAGTCTGTCCTTCCCAGGATTAGTGGCTTTGAGATCGTCAAAGCTCTCCTAATAGTACAGTCATTTGTGGAAACTTTTTGAAGAGATCACCTTTCTCTTCTTTCTCTTTTCCTCTTTCCCATTGTTACGGGCTGCCCGTTTCTTTCTTTTTATTTTCAAAGCAGTCATTTTTTTATTTTTTAAATATATTTATTGATTTTTTACAGAGGAAGGAGAGGGATAGAGAGTTAGAAACATCAATGAGAGAGAAACATCAATCAGCTGCCTCCTGCACACCTCCTACTGGGAATGTGCTTGCAACCAAGGTACATGCCCTTGACCAGAATTAAACCTGGGACCCTGCAGTCCGCAGGCCGACGCTCTATCCACTGAGCCAAACTGGTTAGGGCCAGTTTCTTTTTTTAATATGATTTTATTTATTTATTAGTAGCCCTGGGCACGAATCCGTGCACCAGTAGCTTGCTGCCCTGCCCTCCTGTAGCTCCCCACGCACCCCCACCCCCCTTAATAGCCCTGCCCCCTATTGTAGCTCTCTGCTGCCCACTTGTAGCTCTCTGCCCCACCCTCCTGCTGATCCATGATTCAGTCATTATGTAACGACCATTTGCATATTACTTCTTTATTATATAGGATTTTTTAGAGAGAGAAGAAGGGAGAGGGGTAGAGAGATAGAAACATCGATAAGAGAGAAACATCATCAATGAGCTGGCTCCTGCATGGCCCCTACTGGGGTCAAGCCTGCAACCCAGGCATGTGCCTTGACCTAGAATTGAATCAGTGACCTCTTGGTTCATGGGTCAATGCTCAACCACTGAGCCATACCAGCTTGGCATAGGCTGCCATTTCTACACACAGCATTATTGGAAATCAACTAAGCATAGCTGGGGATAAAACAATTGTCATCACAGGCAGGCAGGAAGATTTCAATTTTAGCTACGTTCCATGATGACTCAATGGAAATCAAGTTGCTTACTGATGGTGCCATTCTTTTTTAAAAAGGTGTGTCAGAGAAGATGTGTCTGGCAGACCCCCACCCGCCATAGGACCCAAGAGAGGACCTCTGATGCCATGTCTCCCCTACCCCCTGACTCCCGAAGGGGAGGCAGTGCCCAGCTGTGATCATGTTAGAAGAGAAAGATATGAGAAGGATCTTACTTCTCTCTGGCCTTCCCACTGTGTCCTAGAACTCAAACAAATGGGAGTGTTTCTCCAATCAGTTCTGAGCTCTCTCTGGATAAATAGGATGACAGGATTCTTCCTTCCTTCCTTGCTTCCTTCCTTCCTTCCTTCCTTCCTTCCTTCCTTCCTTCCTTCTTTCCATCCTTTCTTCCTTCCTTCCTAACCATTTGAGGTTTACTTTATATTGATTTATAAATATCAACCTCTTTGTGTATTTTTCATAACATAAAAAATGTATTTTGACCAAATGAGTCATGCATTCTTTTTCTCTTTCTTGATCAATTGGAATTTCAACTCCTTCCAGTTTCTTCACTTTTAGTAAGAAGTAGCAAATGAATAAAAACCATCCTAAATAGAAGGTGGGGAGCTGGAATCAGAGACTCAACAGAACAAAACTCCCCACTAAAACAGCTTTCCAGAATTAATTTTCAGAGTATCCATGAAATCAACCATCTGGGGAATGTTTTGAAGGCAGAAACATGCCCTATTAAATGATTAGTGTATTTTCTTCGGGTGACCTTAAATGAAAAAGATATATATATAATGTAGTAATGTAGTCCTCACCCCACTGATGGTGTATCCTTTGAAAGCCATATGAATATGTAGAAAACACCTGTGACCATACATGGCACTATCCAGCTACCTCTTTAGTTTAATAAGTGTAAAAAATGTATTTTGATGAGCCCCAAGAGCCCGAGCCCTCTGCGTGGTCTGTGGCTGACTTAGAAATTGTGGAAAGACATCTGATGGACTGAGAGGCTACACCATGGGCTGTCCCCTGACCCACAGCCACCTCCAGATACAGTTGTCCCTCCTCTTATCTGAGGGGAAGAAGCATTGGTGCTTGCTGCTCTCCCATTGACAGAGCCTCTTAGCAGCTTTTTGTCTCTGGGTTTAGATTGATAGCATTACAAGGGCACTAAAGGAAAAGAAAAATAAATACCAGATTCTTTTAAATAAAGAAAGGGACGGAAGGGACAAGAATATAATGAGATTGAGACATATATTTAAGAATATATGTCCACTGAGCACGGTGGCAGGACACGTGGAAATGTATTGCCTCGCGGTGGTTGCTTAGGACCTGATGGGGTGGAACAAGTATCCTTATTATCATCATCAACAATTTCCATTTACTCAGCATTTTCTCTATGCCAGGCATGGTTCTAAATGCCTCATGTCCATTGACACGTGTATTTTTCACAGCTCCGTAAGGTAGTTATTTTATTTTCTGTAGCTGAGGAAACAGGCATAGAGCCAGGGCTCACAGCTAGTGGGAGGCAGAGCAAGGATTGAAACCCAAGTCTTAACCACGGGGCTCTGCTGCCTCTTTTAATTAGGGAGCCAGAGACCATTTGGTTATTTCCAAAGAGTGCCTGTATTTAGCGACCACTTTCTTTGGCACTTTCTCCATAATGAGAAAGTCCCCTTGGAACCTCCAGACATAAGATCTCTACTACCTGTTTGCCAGTGCAAATCAGGAAAATTGCTCTCTAACCTGCCAATAATCTCAAGATAAAGAGAGAAGAACCTACTGGTGTTTCTCTTTCTCAAAGAGACAAGGGAAAACACACCCCGGGTAGATCAGGGTGGGCGCTGTGCCTGTTGCCCATGTCTGGTATTTTCTTTCTTTCTCATGGGGAAATTGTCTTGAGGGAAGAAGCCCAGGCAACATGGTCTGCAGCTCTCTGCCAGGTGGAAACCTTGACACTAGGAGAACGTGGAAAAGGAAGCGGGGAGTCCAGGGCTAACATCACCACTTTGTGATAAATTTTTAAAGTGGCCTCTATGAAAGGCCCTCCCAATCTAGGTGCTGTCAGGAGCCCCCTGGAGGGTGAAGGCTGTTCGTTTTGTTTGCTATTAAAAATGATTCAGTTCTCTCTGCTTTACATTCAAATAAGGTCATTTGGGCTGTGCTGTGATACTTGCCAAGGTGGATTAATGGAGTTATTTCTGGATATTTGACCAATTAGACTTTATTTTTTTAAATGGAGATATAATTCATGTAGTACAAAGTTTATTCTTCTAAAATACATAATGTGATGGGGCTTAGTTTATTACAAAACTGAGAAGCTGTGTAGCTAGTACATCACTATCTACTTTTAGGGTTGCAAAAGTGATAGTATAATATATTATAGTGCCAACAACAGAGAGAGTAAAAGAAGACTTGCCTAGGACTACCGAGAAAACATGAAAACTCTCCCAATTGAACATGTGCAGTAGAACTTCTGGTGAGGATGGAATTGTTCTCTGTTTGTACCATCCAAATTGGTAGCCATTAATCACGTGGGCCTGTTGAGCACAGGAAATGTGACTGGTACAACTGAGAACTGGGTTTTTATCTAATTAAATTTAAATAGCCACATATGGCTACCATATTGGGCAGAGCAGCTGTGTGGCAACTTACCAATTCAGTCTTATCTGAGATCATTTTCCCCATCTCCCTCACGGCCCCAGTTTCCAAAATGACTGAAATGTTGAAGCATGTGCTATACAAATTGTTATATTTAAATTTAATCCCCAGTACAAAGAAAAAGCTTCACATTCCCACAAGGAACCCAGATGATGGGATTGGGTGGGGGGAGACATCGGGCTGGGAGCCTCTTCTGAAATATATCTGAGCGGGAGTCAACTCGGTTGGCACCAGGCATGGGTGACATCAGTCCCCTCACAGGAGGGCAAAGGAAAGTTGTGCACTTGGCCTCTGCTTCACAGCTCACAGGAATGAAAGTGATCCCCACAGCGGAGTATTCTGGAGGGCATGAAGCAAGGTAGCTTCTGCTCAAATTGCGGGTTGTGACGACAAGAGCTGGGCCCCTGTAGCACTCTGTCACCAAACGATTAGTTATGAAGATTTCAGAAGCCATGAAGAGTCTTTAAGCTCTCATGGCTCAACTCATTAAATTCCCTCCTCCCCAAAGTTCCACTTAAGGTGACTGTTGTTTTTTAAGTGTCCAGAGGCTTCAATTTTTTTCTTGAGGATTCGCTTTTCCATTTTCCTTCAGAAGAAAAGTAGCCCAGGGAGAACCTTACATGTTATTAATGTAAAATATGCAGCCCCTTTATTCATTACTAGAGGCCCAGTGCATGAATTCATGCATGGGTGGGGTCCCTCGGCCTGGCCAGTGATCGGGGCCAATCAGGGCGGATCAGGGCCAGCGGAAGGGAGGAACCACAGGAGGTGGGCTGTGGGAGCACACTAACCACCAGGAAGCAGCTCCTGCATTGAACATCTGCCCCCTGGTGGTCAGTGCGTCATCATAATGACCAGTCAACCAGTGGTAAGGGTCGCTTAGGCTTTTATATATATAGATTCTTTATTTCCTGATTTTTCCTTTTTTATTTTTAACTAACATGTTTGGCAAATATGAGGTATAGGAAGGCAAACACATTTCAGATGCTTCTTATCCTAAAACTTTCTATACTGTTTGGGAGCCGAAATAAGTCCTTGTAATTTATTGTGCGTGAAGCTACGGAAAGATGGGATGGCCTCTAGTGAGTAATTAATATTTACCCATAAAATATAACATATTAGGGAGAAGACCAAAAATATTCACTCAGTGCTTGACAAACTTAAAAGAAAAAAATTATCGATGTCTAAAACTGCAGGGTTTTGAGGCAAGTGCAGAAACGGAGACAGAGATTCCATAGGACAAAGTATTTTAAAGTTATTCATTAAGGCAACAAAGCATTAAATATATAATGTTTTGATCTTCTGACTTGACATACATATCCTTATGTGACCCAGAAAGCTAGGTTCAAGTTTAGATTTCTCAGACACCCCAGAGTTCCAGCTGGAAAGTAGCAAAGTCAGGTCACCAGCCTGTCACCTATTGGGGACTGAGCAAAGGACTTCCCTATGCCTGGGCCAGCCCTGGAGCATGAGGGGTGCACACCGGTGCCATCATCCACACTAGGGAGGACAGTCCCAGGGAAGAACCTGTGAGGGGCCCGGATGCAGGCTGGGCATTTGGACAGGGAATGCTGGGGTCCCAGGTGTGGTGTCTGGAGAATGTTCTAGAAGACTGCACATCTTCCCTTGCTTAGTGTGGAAGCACACGGCTGGAGGAGATCAGAACGAGGTGTCTACATCATGGAGTCGGGGCACGGACCCTGATGGCCTAGGTCTAAGGGTATATTTTAAGACCAGTGACCATTTCAGTGTTTCTGTGTTGAAAGAAACTCATCAAGCCGGGACAAAAGAGCCGTCTCCTAGTGGAGCTACCCTTCACGATCTGGTTCCATAGGTGTCTCTTTTGCAGTCGAATTCAGAAGTTACCAATTTGGTGTTTCCAAGGCTCCTGAGTGCTTTTACTTATATTTTTAAGTTTTATTGAGATATAATTCACGTACCATGCAATTCACCGATTTCATTGGTTTTTAGTACATTTACAGAGTTGTGCAGCCATCACCACAATCAATTTGAGAGCATTTCCGTCACCCCGAGAAGAAACCCCTAGTCTGCTTCCTGCCTCCCTGGGTTTGCCTGTTCACACTGGGGCTTCTGCCCTTCTCCAGTAGTTTCCCCTTGCACATGTGCATGGGCCCAGAGAGAAGAGTAAAATCTTATCCAATCAAACATTCCATTCCTTTTCTCCGTGGATATAGATTGTGCTTCTCAAACTTTAATGTGCATGCGAATGTGGCTAAAATTCCCAGTGATCCGCGGGTCTGGGAGTCTGGATTTCGAACAAGTGGTGCCCGTGCTGTGGGCCTGGGGACCACACTTTAAGGACATCGGTGATGCTGAAGCCATTGCAGCCTCATTGCAGACAGTGTGTCAAGGACTTGAGATTTCAGCTGGCTTAGTGTTGCAGGTTGTCGTCAAAGCATAGAAGGCAGGATGGGAAGGAAGTGTGTGCATGGATATGTGTCGGTGCATTTGTGTGTGTGTGCATGTGTGTTGTGTGTGCATGTGTGTTGTGTGTGTGCAGTTGCATGTGCGTGCATTTGTGTGCAGGTGCATGAGGCTGGGGACAGGAGTTTTGCGCACATGAACTTCTGTCTATCATTCTGGAATTAGGGCTGTGAGGACCCCAAACTTCATTTCATCTTTTCTAGTCTTCAAACCTAAGTTTCCCGGACTCATCGTCATCCGCAGAGGCGGGCAGTTGCCCCAGGTTGTTTAACTTCCTTATCAAGCCTCTGGTTCCCTTCCTTATCAAGGCTCCAAACCCGCATTCCTCTGACCGTCTTTGACCCCTAAGGGCATCAGTTCTGGCCACACAGCACTTTCTGGAAATTGT